GGTAGCTGTGGACTCCTTGGTATTTTGTAAATGGTATAACATAACTTGGTTCCCCTCTGGGTCCCTGAGTTTTCTGTGTATCATGTGAAAAATGGTGACATACATACAGAATTTTTTTTAAAAGGCATCAGTTTAAAAAATGGGGAATGTACTGTTTAATGGGGATCTTCCTAGTCTAATATCATAAGACAAGTAACAAGCTAAAAATGAAGTCTGAGTTCTCCCATCCTGGCATGCCCACAAACAAGTGGGTGTTTCCTGGTACTTAAAGCACTAAGGTTATGTTGCTGCTCTACAAATAGTCCCCTCTGTAGTCCCATTTCCTTGCACACCCAAAAGTGTTAAGTATGCAAATGGAGTCCTTACAACTGGAGTTTTTATGTTGTCTTGCCCTTTTTGAACACACATTGTGTTTGGTTGGGGTTTTTTTTTTTATTTTTTTTTACTATGTAATTGTCAATAAGACTTCATTCTTTACTTGTTCTTAAGAGAAAGGATATAAGGGAGAAGAATGCAGTAATTGCTGTACGTGTATCATCATTCCAGTTTCTAAAAACAGCCAGCTTTTTTCCTTTTAAGATTCTCCAGAAGGCTGCAAGGCCAGAACCACAACTATCGGGTGCCTTCCTTTGGAAATATTTGACCTCTCTTCTGTGAAGAGAATGGTACTTAACAGACTACTACTAGTGCTTTGTCAGTACCGAAGTCTGAATGCCCACTCCAATGGCAAACATTATCCTTAAGGTTTTTAATCCCACCTGGAAAAATTGTGACAGAACTCTCACAAAATAAACCCAGGGCATTACATGTTGACAACAAATGTGTGGTGGTGGTTTTTTAACTTGTATTGTTAGTTCCATAATTATTGTAAAATTTTTTTTTTTTTAAATCTAGGGAGTTGGGGGACTGTATGACCTGGGACAGTGGTTCCTACACTGCTGTCTGGAGAGCACTTGCTGGTCACGTAATGCTGGCTGTCCTTGGCTGCCAGCCACTAAATCACATTGAAAGATGACTAAAAATACATTATTTTATTAATAATTTCTGTATAAGGAACTGCTACATGGTTTTTTGTGCGTGTCCAAATGGTAAGTTGACTTTATGATGAGTAGGAGGTGAGATTGTCCACACAATCACAAATGGGAGTAAATGTGGTCCACAAGTCTGTCTCTCTCTAGTAACATGGTCTGTGCTGTAGAAAAAGTTGGGAGAGCCTCTAACCTAGTTGACTGGTAATGAGACTTCATCCCTAGGCTACTATTTCAAATCCTCCAGGTCAGTGGTGGCATACTGCCATCTGTTGGCTGTTCTATAGCCTATGTGAAATGAGTTGGTGGACTCAGTCCAGCATCACCTATTAGGCAGTTACTTACAATAGTGAGCGAGTTTAGAGTACCTATATAACTGGCACTTGTGTTTGCAGTCATAGCAGAACAGCCAACAATTGAAAGGGCAAAGGAACTGAACTATTCACTCACCCCTAAAGATACTTTCTCAAGTTGGAGTTAAAGCACACTTTTTGCCATGTCACTGTAGGCAAATGTGCACTGCCAACGTGTGTGTGTGTGTCATGTGCACAGTATCTTTTTAAACTGACTACTTTGGCATAGGGAATTATACTTTGAGTGAGTGCTTAGTGTGGATATCTTCCTTCTAGAGAAGACAAGGATGGTAATGTGCAGGATGAATTTTTGTTTGTTTTTAATGGAAAGGAAAGAGGTGGGGCAGGGGGAGGAATTGGCCTTATTTTTTTTTAACAATAAATTTAAGTCCTCCATTTTAAGTTTCACTAAATACCTCTTTACATCCTGTTTTCAAGCATATAGTATTGTCCCCTACTAATAAGATGGGAGAGGGAGCTGGTGTCTGAATATTAAAAGGGTATATATATAGAGAGATCTGTTACATGGTTTCTTCACTAGGCCACCACTTCCACTTCTTTCCCCACCAACACCTTTCTTCTGCAAAAGAGTTCAATGGTGGGATTGGGATCCACCACCACTCCTATCAAAGAATCAGCATGGCTCCTAAACAAATAGGGCTTAACCTTCCGTTCCACACCTCAAATCAATGGCCACGCCTGTCGGGGGGATGGATAGAGGAAAGAGGAGCTTCCACCATCCGTGATCTCCCTGTAACAGCAGCAGGACCCACTTTGTTCCTACCCTGACCGCACACCTGAAGAAAAGAATAACTGTTTTAGACTCCCTTCTCGGGGAGGAAGGTGCATACCCTGAGGGGAAAGGAGATGGGTTGCATCCACTAGCTGCTTTCCATCCTCTCCCATACTTGCCTTCCATCCATCAGAGAGTTCACTTCTCTCTCTTAAGTGGGTGTGCTAGGGCACCTCCTACTTTTTAATCTGCAAAAGAGAGGAACTAATGGAACTTCAAGGTGATCTCTCTCCAGAGACTTAGCAAAGACCTGTTTGAAGACTGCCATCAATCCTGTTCCCAGCTAAGTTACCTTCTGCTCCCCCAAGTCTGGAATTCTAATGGTAGGGGAGGGTGCATTAATAATTCTCTTCATCCCTTCCCCTTCAACCCCCTCAAAAATAATCTTAAGCACCTCTTTCTTAGAAGACTTTACCACCTCCACTGCTGCTTCAGCAGGGGCTTCCCCTCCTGAGCTATATAACTACAGTACAACAAATTAATAGTAAGGCTCTATTTGGCAATATTGTGGATCCCGCAGTATTAATTTTATAAACATTAAATGCCTGTAAAATGTAAAACTAAAGACTAAAGTGACTGGACTTGATTTCTATAGCAGTTGTGTTAAGACTTTTTTAGACTTCTGAATTTTATTTTGTACTTTTTATTTATGTATTTATTTTATTTTTTTGGTTAGTGAATGTAATATAGTTGCAGAAAAATGGCTGGTTTATTAAAAAAAAAAATTAGCAGGCATAAAATAATACTTGAATATTTATATCGTTCAAGCAAATTTTTCTTAAATAAGCACTATTAAAGGTCCATTATTACTTTTCTGCGATTTTTTTTTCCATGTCTTGTCTGCAACTCAGCCACAATTATTTGAAGATCATCATCCTGCGATTCAAGTAGGACCTGAACAGTTAGTGAAATATCTTCATTATAGCTAGTTTTAACTCCCAACCCCCTTAAGAAAAGACCAAGATTGGTTCTGAGAAAAGATGGGGAGGAGGATTGGACCAGAATATCAATTTAATATTATAATTAATAGTAATATAATATACAGTGCAGCAACGCTTAAAGTTTGGGCAACTTCATCGTTTAGCAGTGGGAGGAATAGATCCACAGGCACCAAGGAATTCACAGAACAGATACAAGACAATATTTGAGATGACCATGTAGACTGTTTGTTTGTCTCTATCATAGAGCAGACTAAGTGAAACATAAGGTAGTAAGTGTAGTGAGAGACTAATTTTTATTAAATATTCCACATTTTGGGAAACAAAAATTACTTTTCAGGGAAAGTTTTTAATTTGACTTATTAATGCACTGCTTTCAGGTAAAGTTGCAAAAAAACCTGAAACATCCTTAAAGTTTACTAATGGGGAGCGGGTACTAGTAGTTAAGTAAAAGTGTGGCCAAATAGGTCCTGTATTGCTGCTGGATGCTTTCCAGGCCTGGGTTCCAGCAAACAGCTGGAAGGGATGAATTTCAGAAACATGGGTGCTCTACTGGGAATTTTCTGCCACTGTTTGTGGAATTCTCAAACCTAGATTACCAGTAGATAGTTGCTGTGACTGGATAAAGGAAGAGAGGCAATCCCTCAGCTGAAATTTAGAATATTTATGCTTTTATAAATTTAACAGAGGCCAATGCAGAGGGTTGATGGTATGTGCTCTTGGCTGCTCATTTCCTTCAAGAGGCAAACCATTGCATTCTATACAAGCTGAAGACAATGCCACACATTTGGGTAAAGTAACCTTCAGAAAATTGCTGAGTATTAACATTTTTTCATTGATCGTGTTCCATCATGTTTTTAAAATCTTGTTTGTAAGGCATAATGAATGTTAATTACAACAATAATTGTCATTAATTTTAACTTGTATCTTCGTAGAAAGGGCCAAATCCTGATCCTATGTGAAGTCAATAGAGAGAGAAATTCCCATTGACTTCAAACCGACCAAGAATTGTCCCACATGTTGGAATTTTCAAAAGTGTTCCCAAATCATTTAAGAACACAAGCCTGTTGATTTTGTGCTCCTAAACTCACTTAAGTGCTTTGGAAAATCCCACACATGGAATTCAAAACAGTAAATTATGAGATTACTACAAAGCATAGGAGAAGAGGAGGAAAGCTTCTGAAAATCTTTTCTCCTTCAAAAGTCTACAGCTATTAAAGTTAGTAACCCTAGTGAATGTTGGTATTCCCCTTTAGATGTGATTTAGGTGGGGCTTGTATAAAGGTAATCATTTAGAAGGATCACTTTTTCTGTGTAGACCTCTGCAAGTCCAGTATGGCAACTTGAGCACCGTAAATAAGAATTGTTCACTATGCAACAGGTATGCAGGACATGTTAA